GGAGTGTGGATGCGAGCGGGTCTGGCAGCGGCGAGCATGAGGTGGGGAGGAGGTGCGGCGCACAGCATGTGGAGCTGTGAACAGGGCCAACTGATCAGAAGCCGATTAATCGATTATTGAAAAAGTTGACAACTTTTTCAATAATCGATTATAATCGATTATGTCGATTAGTTGTTGCAGCCCTAGATATAGCCACCCACCCAGAAGCAAAGCTGGTCTGTTTTAGATAATTAGTGCTATCATAATCCTGTCTAAGGGTGCCCACACACCTTACGATAATCGCGGGAAATCCTGCGATCGTATGATTATCGTAAGGTGTGTGGAAGCCGTGCGACCTCTACTACTGTAAGGTCGCAGGACTTTTAACTTATGAACATGTTCGAAAACCCGCTGAGCATCGTACGATGTTCGGCGGGTGTGTAGCATGTTCGTAAGATAAAAGCCGGACGGGCCGGTGTGCCCGCAATGCCAAACGGGCAAGCGCACACTGCCCGTTCGGCATTGCGGTCATCGGAAGCCCGCCCCTCAGGGGGGCGCGGCTTGCGATCATCGCAAGTACGATCTGCCTGTCCAAAATGGGCAGATCGTACGATTTTTTAAGTACCTTACAACCCTCGCAAGACAAAATGGTTGTAAGCTGTGTGCCCAGCATTAGTTCAATTCCTAGAGCATCGCAAGAATAGCAAGGATGTTACTTCTATCTTTTAGTCTGCAACATCCAAATGCATCACATTCTAGAAATGAATAATGTAACCTTACCATTATTCTAAAGACGCACACTTCGACAGCTATAGTGGCTCCTCACTTTGCATCTTTTTCAGGTACTCGTATGCGATAGTTGGGATCAACCTAACAGAAATGGCTTACAGTTTACTCAAGAGTGGGGCACTGAAGTCTCACTTCTATAATATGGTTCCTGGCTTTCCTGAGATGAAGTGCTTCCATCAGTTCTTTTGTAAGTATTTATGGAGCACATCATCATATCTCCATGAAAATGTACGAATTGTTTCAGATTGACTTCCTAAATGCTGCTTTTGATGGTTAGTGCACTGTGACGTATTCTGGATTTAATCATTGTATACTCTTATGCAGGTTATCTTTTGTATGAATTTTACAAGTTTTGGTTTAACGAAGAGCCTGAGAGCATTATGCATTTCAACCAATACAGAGAAAAGTTTAATGACTAGATCAAGCATCTTCTCAGCAATCCTGATATCATTCTCACACTTTAACAGCATCAGACTGTCCTTAAGTTATGAATTCTACGCACTTGGTACTCTGTCTTATTTAAATTTAATAGTAATGTTTTGTTATTTGTCTTTTTGTTTTACTGAAGCTAACAGACAATCAACTTTATAAACACAGGTTTGTACAGAGAAAAAAAATCTATATTATATTCATCTGAGTCAGTTGATTAACTGTATTTTTGTTCCACAGATGGAGCACTGTTCAGTGACATTATCATAACCCATGCTAATAACAGCAATACAATCCCATAGTAAATCTTCTTATAAACATTAGATCTTAGCTGGCTGTGCATGCAAGACTATGCCACCAAATGATCTTTCTAATGAAGGCTCATTCTACGGGTATGCAAGTTTAAACTGGGCAGTCTTATGTGTTCATGCCTATGGATGGGGAAGGTGGGAGAGCTGCCGTCACCAGCTGTCTTGGGGATAGAGTAGTGACTGGCTTGGTTGATTGACTTTACCTTGAGCAGGCTTGGCCAGGGAGCATTTGCAAGGGTGTGAAGGTGCCTACAAACTAGTGTTCCCTAGTCTAACTATAAACAGGTGGATCAGTTGAACCTTCTCCATTGTCTGTAGACACCTTAACCATTTGAATTGTAGCGGCTTCCTCGTATATGACATTTTACTGAACTATCAGCGCCCCAAAATCTACCAGTCTTGTATCGACATCTTACAGCAGCAAGATGTTGGTTCCAAAAACTAGTGGTATGCTGGATTGCATTCTCTCTATTCCTATGAAGAATCCACAAGCATTCTAGAGACACCATTAACCTCCCTGGCAGTCTGATTATTTCTTTTTTTTTCAATTTTGTTTCGTCTTTTACTTTTAAATTCCCGCCGGTTCTGCTCACTTGCGACACGGATGCTCGCAAGGGTCGGAAGACGGATGCCGGCATCGGCCGGAGGACACAGTGCGGCTTGAGGGACAAGGTAAGTAACGCTTATGGTGCTGAAAATTAACCCCCGAGCCACACTCGGGATTACCGCCAAGGAGGTTAAAAAATATCTACAGTAAACATACCTAGAAAGGACAGCAAGAGCTAAATGTAAAGTGTTAATTACAATTACCTCCATGCTGTTTTATAATTGGTCAGGGGCAATCAATATCATGCTTTGAAGCAATCTATACGAGGGTGTCATTGTTGGTGAGATATTTGGTTGGCCATAGGTTTTTAAAACTGGAAGGTTTGCTAGTTATGCTCTATTTACTCAAATATTCTGCACTTCTTCTCTATACAGCTCACCCATTGTGGGGAATCTACAATAGCCATTATCAGATGTGTTTCCACAGCAACCTATGTCTAATATTGATGACATTAGATTAGCATCTTATTGATCAAAGCATAGTATATTATTCTGCATCATTTGTTGTGTATGACCAAATTCACAAAATTCTGAGAAATCTTTTCACTTTTTGTCGAAATTAATACTTCTTTTGTATGATTATGGAACTGTTGAAAAGCGGAGACCATCTTTCATATACACTTGTAATGAAAATTCTAAACTTATATTTAAAAGGTGTGTATATAATATAATATATATATA